CGCCTTTACAACAACCACCTCTAAGGTAACTATAACTCTTTTACAACAACCACATTTAAGGTAACTAGAACTCCTTTACAACAACCACCTCTAAGGTAACTATAACTCCTTTACAACAACCACCTCTAAGGTAACTATAACTCATTTACAACAACCACCTCTAAGGTAACTAGAACTCCTTTACAACAACCACCTCAAAGGTAACTTGAACTCCTTTACAACAACCACCTCTAAGGTAACTATAACTCTTTTACAACAACCACATTTAAGGTAACTAGAACTCCTTTATAACAACCACCTCTAAGGTTACTAGAACTCCTTTACAACAACCATCTCTAATGTAACTAGAACTTCTTTACAACCACCACCTCTAATGTAACTAGAACTCCTTTACAACAAATATTACAGCCAGTTGAATATCCTTTCACAGGCTGAAGTTGGCATTTGTTGACTGTTTGTAGTTTTACTGAACAATGTCACGTTCAAATGTTTGTCAGTGCTCTTCAAAAGAAGGACGTTCATGCCAAATCAACTGCAGCTGAATAGAATTAGGAGAGATGGAATCAGAACACTGTGTTCGTGAATCAGAGTAGAGTATAGTGTGGTGGATGGAATGAAATACACGCGGCTGGATGGATTAAATGGTCCCAAAGAAGGGGGGAGGAAACGAAGAACCGAAACGAAGGCTCGTGTTTTTTTAAGCCCTATGTCTCATTTTTGATGGTTTATTTGCCTTATGGTGGCTCGGGATTTTGCTTCTGTGTGTCATTCGCGGTTGTTCACTGGCTTTATGGTAGCTTTTTCTGTTTGTCCTGTCTATTACAGGGTCTTTGGTGCTGAATAGTTTCTTCTTTGTGAATTTTGGTGGCAGCTCGGTTTTTTTTTTTTTTTTTGGTGTGCCTAATAACTTGTCAATCTAGTTGGATTACGATCTTCATCTGTCTCAGTCAGGACTGTTTCCTCTCTGTTTCGCTCAAATCCTCATTCTCAATCTTTGCATTCTTCTCTAAACCCAGATCTCCGCTGCGAGTAAATGTTTTTTTACCTTGTCTGCTTGTAACAACACAGATTCATAGTAGCACTTTCACACTGTTCTTCTCACTGCAGCTAAATGTTCATATTGGTGAGCATTGTCAGAGGTCAGTGCAGGTATGGGATAAAATGGGAGATAATAGAAAATGTCCGTGTCTGTACTTAGTGACCCAGACATGACCTGTGAACCCGCAGACGGGACCCGAGGTTACCAGAAAGTTCTGACTGAACCAGGCGACTGCTAACGAAATCACGAGGACCTTGGACTGAGTGACTGAACTACAAAAGGGCTACAAAACGGACGGCTTGAAACCGACTTGAAAGAGGAAAGTTATGGGGCTGCGTGGTCTCGAAGCATGGTGTCCGGTTCGAATGCTAGAGGTTCCGGGTTCAATCCCTCGTAAGGGCTTAGTTTTTTTTCACGTGGACTTCTAGTAATTCCCCCTTGGTCTCTGGGTAGTGAGATCGGACGCCCGTGTACATTGTTCTGCATGTAAATAAATCCCCTGGCAGTTGGAAATCGAAAAGAGTCGCCTAACGGCGCTGCCTGGGCAAAATTTGGAGTTAAAAATCTACCAAACGTATTTCAGGATCCTCGCCGGTGCTACAGAGCCTGTGCACTGTGCTGAGCTTCTTCGGACTCAGACTTGAGTTAAAAGAAGAACAGAGCACTTGTGTTCCATGTTGTTGATCCGTTGTTCAGACTTGAAACATTGGGACGAGACAGTGCGCCTGTTAGACCGATGTTAGATTTGCGACCTTTAGAATTATAGTGTGTGTCGATTTAAGCATAGCGTGTGACTTTTTAGAGTAACTATACTTACAACATATTTGTATGGCAATTTAGAGTATCTATACTTGCAACCTAACTGTATGATAATTTAGAGTAACTACAGCAACGACATAACCGTCCGACAATTTAGAGTAACTATACATACGAGTCCGACTCGTAATCCAACGTACCGCGATCGAAACCCACTGCTGGCTGCGTGGATTTTTATCGTGGTATGGGACGTCGCAGGTCGACCCAGCCTCAAATGGGTACCAGGATGGCTGTCCTGGGAAAGTAAAGACGGCCGGCGTAATGCTGACCACATTACCCATTGAGGGCCGATTGGTCTGTAAAAAATATGGGACGCTCTGCCCATATACCCGATGAGCCGAAAGGCGTGAAAAGGGATCTTTACTTTATTTTACTTTTATACATACAATTTGTCGGCTCTGTGGCTAAGTCGATGCGAACGCTTCGTAATGCCGGGATGCCGGGTTCGATCCCAGCTGCGGGCCATGGGCCTTGCGTTGCTTTTGACAGTGGTATCAAGAAAGCCGACCGTCCAGTTAGCAATGGCAAACTACTGGACCTAATTTTGCCTAATTCTGCAACGTCCTGTAAAGGTTACACAACTAACCTATATTTACAATTTAACAGTCCGATAATTTATTTAATTATATGCCTACCTACTTTATAACAGGTTTCGCCTTGGCGTAGCGGCTAGACGCTCGCGTGCGGATCGGAAGGTCATAATCGCTCCTTGGCGTAGCCGGACTTTTTACAAAAATGATCTTGACTCCCAGATCGACCCAGCCTTGAATAGGTACCGGGTGCAGCCGCGGGAAGTAAAGGCGACAGGCGTGATGCTGACCACATCACCCATCTTGTTCTGATTTGTCTGTAAAAATATTGGTCTAGCCCTATGTGCCCTAACGCCTAAAAGCGAGGAAAAGGGACCTTTGCTCTTTTACTTTTACTACATTATAACTATTTGACAAATTAGAGTAACTACCCTTACAGCATAACTGTATAAGAACTGAGAATGAAACAGCTATACGATAGTTAAGGGCAAACTTACAAACGCCAGCGACATTCGTTCTGGGTAAACAACAGCTGCTATCGCGTAGCAGGCCGTAAATACCCCAGCGCCGCCCAGGGCATCAGCAGCTCGCAGGATCAGAGCTGCCGCGAAAAACGGGGCTCCAGAAGGCAGGTAAATGATTAAACTGGAAGAACAGCAATCATCTCTATAAATAAACGTTACTGAAAATACAGCAATCATTAGTGAATGTTACTGAAAGTACGACACTGATACATCAATATAATATACATCGATGCCTAGCGTTTAATAGTACTAGTTCGGGCTGACAAGACCTCTCATACCTCTGACATGCCTCTCGTACCTAGCTGTGCAAGTCTCAATGAATACATGTCAATGCAAGACCCGATTTAATTGTAAAAGAAAAGTGGAAAATATGAAATAAATTTACTTGTGTTAAGTAATAGATAAATAACAACGGAACATAGCAAGTGAGCTATCTTTATCCGTCGATAGATAGAAGCACGTCTTTACTGAAGGGAGTTATGATACATCATTTACATTATTAGTTTTTCCCCTGCATCTGTCAGTTGAGTTCTACTTAGTTATAGCCCCTGGTACTCCACAGGGGGTATTTATTCCGCTGGCCCACGCGTGTCGGCAGTCTGCTGAGAAGTCATCGACCCGGCTGCTTCGAGATACCAACTCAAGTGACTTTGTGTATTTGTGTGGTGTGCTGTTGAAGGCTCCATAGCGGCAACGTTCATGTTTTGTTTGTATTTGTTATATAGTGAAGCTTGATAATATACTTTTCGTTCGGTTAAATATCTTGTCTTGTGTTCTACTCAAATATGGCCGATTTGTCTGTATTCTTCAACCTGCCTCAAGGGTATATTTGGGGATAACCCTGTAAAAACAAATGTAAAAGTCAGGCATGGTCTTACGTCCCCTTGTATGTGAATGAATGAAGTTGCACGCCACTAGGTTAGAACATTGAACGACTAACATCTGGTGACACAAAGTGTAAAGCGTCATTACTTGGATGAGAATCTCCCAGGCACAAATCCCCAAAAAGCCCGTACAACTGTAAAGTTATGTTTGGGACCCTCGACTATTACAATGTAACCTATGGTCAGGACGTGATGGGACGCCGGTGTGTGCTTGTGTGTGTGTATATGTGTGTGCTATTCCCTGGATGTATTGTATTCATCGACCATTGACAGACAATCGGGTGAGATCCACTATAATCTCCCAGGCACAAATCCCAAAAAGCCCGCACAACTGTAAGGTTATGTTTGGGACCCTCAACTATTACAATGTAACCTGTGGTCAGGACGTGAAGAAGCTCTGGTGTGTGTATGTGTGTGTATGAGTGCTATTCCCTGGATGTATTGTATTCATCAACCATTGATAGACATCGGGTGAGATCCACTATAATCCCTCCCCCCCCCCCCCCTGCCCCAGCCGAGCTAGGTCACGTCCCATTGATGAAATTTTTGGACTCGTCTGCTGTCCTGGGGGTTTCGGCTATATTGTTTGATTTATGGCTTGTCTTGCATTTACGTTTTTTTTCTCTTCCCCCCCCCCCCCCCCAAAAAAAAAAATTGAATGCCTGGGACATAGGTTGCAGCACTCTCTAGGGGAGTTGTGGGTTAGACCCAGTTTCTAAATGTTTTTGTAGTGTTAAAAGCGGTGGCGTGCTTACATAAACAACACGCGATATGAACGCATTAACGAACACCACCCTAGCAGTGTGCTAAGGTCGGGTGCCTGGAGGTCGACCAATCAGTAGCTCGTTACTGTGTGTAACGTGGGGGAGATTATAGTGGAACTAACCGACAATCACTATTCCCCCACCAACTCCCCCTTGAACTTTTCATAACCGCTTGATGTCCGCCGTCCTTTGATCTATCATGGTACACTAGATACGTCCATCGTTAGTAGTCTTTCTATCTCCCACCATATCTATTACATTAATCTGGAGATATGTTAGGGCTCACTCTTGAATTCACCTCTCTCTCTCTCTCTCTCTCTCTCTCTCTCTCTCTCTCTCTCTCTCTCTCTCTCTCTCTCTCGCTCGCGCTCTCTCTTTGTTCGGTCTCTCTCTCTATTTTCTCTCTCCCCCCCCCCCCCCCCCCCCCCCATCTCTCCTTCTCTTAACTATAACATCGTAAAGACAGTTTACACAATCACGACTCCTTTGCGAAGAGCTCGGTCAGAGCATGTTTGTGGCGAGCACATAAGAAGGTGAGGCCCTTTTCTTTTCGCCTTCTCTTTCCGAACAATTTCCAGAAAATCTTCTTGAGATTATTTAATTAAAAAAAATTTTTGTCGGCCTCAGAGTACTATCTGTTGGGTAACATTATTCTACAGTTGAAGTGGACTGAGCTCAGTCATCCCCGGGACAGGTAAGCGTTGTATCACCACTGGGCCAACCCTGGGGTACACAGACGTAGATGGCACTCACCCAAACAGAACTGCAGGCAATCCACCAGCACATAAGCCTAACACCACCACAAACTTGGCACCCAGGCGAGATAGCTGCAAAAAAAAACGAAATTCTTCCTCAGATGTTGACTTTCCCGTTTGAAGGAAAATTGTATAAATCAGAAAAGACGGTAGAGGCAGAAATGTGAACGAATATCGGTGTACAGTTGGGATCTGGCATCTTCAGTTAACTTCGTTGTCTCACTGAGAGAACCAGTGCACAGTTGGGATGTGTCATCTTCAGTTAACTTCGTTGTCTCACTGAGAGAATCAGTGCACAGTTGGGATGTGTCATCTTCAGTTAACTTCGTAGTCTCACTGAGAGAATCAGTGCACAGTTGGGATGTGTCATCTTCAGTTAACTTCGTTGTCTCACTGAGAGAAGCAGTGCCCGTTGACACTTGAGCAGTGAGAACAACAAGTTGGTAAACACTGGGCCATCGATCAACCGACGATTTGTGTTCCACACGACGTCAGGAGGTAAAACTGGTTAAAGTGATCGTTTGGATGACCGATTTAACTCTAAAGTCCGATGTATTCGTGTTCATTATCTGATCCGTAAAAAAAACGCTTGATTTCCGCGGCCTCCAGGTCACGTAGTTGAATTAGCGTTAGAGGGTAAATTGTACGCTGGTCTCTCCATTTACACACCGCTTCACACTAGCTCGCTTCTGACTGGACGACCTACTGACCATCTCACTTCTGATGGGTCAGCGATCCGACTTTCACACAAAGTCACTGTGATATTCCGCACTCGCTCTCCTACCGCGTGTTGTATATTTCACCATGCCAGAGCGTTCTACACTTCTACAACATTTAGATACTGGGTCTAACACACTTCCCCCCCCCCCCCCCCCCCCCCCCATAGAGAGTGACAAAACAGGCCGTCTCTTTCTCGGAAATAAAAACTTAAATGCCGGACAACAATCCAGACAACTGTATGTCGTGTGTATCCCAAGTAGAATACTTTATATGGAAAGGGACAACTGTATGTCGTGTGTATCTCAAGTAGAATACTTTATATGGAAAGGGACAACTGTATGTCGTGTGTATCCCAAGTAGAATACTTTATATGGAAAGGGACAGATGTTTTAGGCAGAAATGAGCAGATGTCGTGGCCTAGCTATAAACGATAACATATCGCTCCAACCGCACGCAAAGGAAGAAGAAAAGACAAATGTCTTGTGTCTGTCGCTAGCGTGTATAATGTCTTGTGTCTGTCGCTAGCGTGTGTAATATCTTATGTCCGTCACTAGCGTGTATAATGTCTTGTGTCTGTCGCTAGCATGTGTACAACGCCCTTGATATCATAAATCCATGTTTTTGATTGCCCAGTTGTAATGGTGTGAATTCCCGGGAAATCCCAGATAGTTCCTGAGGAGGAGGACAAGGTCAGAGGACCAGTGATACAAGAGGAAAACGAGATAAGTGGGTTTCGAGTATCCCGTGTGGCCGAATAAGGGATACAAGAAAAGCGTGAGACTGGAACGGAAGACGTGAACCGAGAGACGGTGGTAAGACAGTTGAAGTTCTGGCCTGGATGAGTGAGGTCGTATGTGAGAGAACACCTGAAGAGAATGGAAAACATTTCACCACGTATAATTGTTCGAGAGAAGACATGAATGTTTCCTGATTGCCAGTTTCAAAATGTACTAATACCAGGTACAAGGCTTTAGTATGATATGGATGTGTGATTCGAAAGATACGAACGGAACAAAGCAGTGTGCGAGAGAGTTGGCCAGATCATCAGAAATCAGTCATGCATAGCGACCACGAGGACAAAAGAATGCGCTGTCAGTCAGATGTTTAATTCAGCGAATAAAGGTCTATAACTGAACATTCGTTTCTCGTGTGTCATAGCAACTAAGTGTTCGTCAATACAGCAATGTGGCGTGTAGAAACAAATCCCTAGGAGAGCACGTGGCACCAGTCCTCACTGTACCGAGATGCTCCACCCTCTCGCCAATTTCCACACATCCACAACTATCTCATAATGACCATGACGACTTCATTTTCTTGGTCCCAACACAACAGTGAAGGTGGATACTAGACATTGAAGATACATTCGTATTTAAAGCACACAGGGCTGAAGAAAGACAGTCACATTCTGTAAAGGACATATTGATTGGCTGATTGGATGAACAGTAAAGAAAAAGAAATATGTAAAAGAAAATGTAAAGAAAAAAATAAAGGCAAAGGTAAAGGTAAAAGTAAAAGTAAAGATAAAAGTAAAGGTAAAGGCAAATGTAAAGGTAAAGGCAACACTAAAAGCAAAGACAAAGAAAGTAACGGCAAACAGATTATAATGAAAGCCAGGCAGGGTCTGGTTGCCATCAGAGTGATGGGGCGGCAGACTCTGAGCAGGGTCATTAATGTCTTCTATACCAGGGTCTGGTCCTTTCTGTTTTTGAATACGCGATGACGATCTTGACTCTCAGCCACAAGCAGATGGAAAGGATACAGAACGAGGCTATGCGCATTATACTTGGGTGTACAAGAGATACAACATGCAGGGCGATGTGCTGCCTTCTCGATTTTCCAACCACTGAAGACAGAATTCAATTTTTCCGAGATTTGCCTACCTCACAGTCAACGCGGACACACAACATCCATTACATGGTGAAATTTTCAAGATAAAAGACAGTAGGTTAAAAAGAAGGAAATTGTGGATGTGTCAAGCCGAGGACATTAGTTTGCAGGTATGTTTACTTGAAGACATAGAACCCGGTGAGGAGTGGGTGCAAGTGCTGGAGACACAGACTTTCACGGGGTGCATGCTTTCTCAGTGACTCCACGAGTATGCCCAGGAGGACAGAGATTGGCTGGGTGAGAAGGCAGCGGTTGGTGTCTCTACAGCGTTCACGGATGACACGGATTAATTTTCGTGCCATGACATGTGGGAGTACAAGGAAATGAGGAAGCTGACAGATTTGCAGGTAGGCCTACTGTGAAAGCCGGACAATCCATGGACTAGCCTGATATACTGAATGCTCTACGAGATTTAAGACGTTTGCATGAACCAATTGACAACTGTGAATCTGCAACTGCAACCTTCTTGGTCAGACTACAAAAACAGCAAGTTGAACAGTGTGTCGCCATACAAGAACATAACGGGGGTAGCCAAACAAGAGTAATAAATCAAACTAGAATTTACGTCATCAGCCGCGACACACTGCGGGATTGACCGAGGAGGGGATCCGAGCACTTATGGACTGAGTGTTTTGATGTGCAATGAGGATAATCTGTCGACTTACTAAAGGTAAAGGTAAAAGGCAAAGGTAAAAAGTAAAAGACAAAAGTAAAAGGTAAGAGGTAAAAGGTAACGGTAAAGGCAAAGATAAAAGAAAACGGTAAGGTAAAAGGTAAAGGTAAAAAGTAACGGTAGAAGGTAAAGGTAAAAGGCAACAGTAAAAGGTAAAGCTAAAAGATAAAGGTAAACTGTAAAAATGAAAGGTAAAGTTAAAGGCAAAGGGTAACTGTAAAAGGTAACGGTAAAAGGTAAAGCTAAAGGTAAAAGGTAAATGGTAAAGGTAAACGGTAAATGTAAAAGGTAAGAGGTAAGGTATAGATGAAGATAAAGAAAAAGGTAAAGGAACAGTAAAATGTTAAGGCAACACTGGTTGTGTGGTACAAGAGCGACGTTTTCATAGACCCAAAGAAGCTCGTTGTACGTTGTGTTGGACGTTATACCGACCTCCTTTACTGCCCAGGACTTTTCCTGGCGCACATTTTAGCCTGGGCAGACTTGAAAGGCCAGATGTTTGTCTTAGTAGAAAGGTCAGTAAGTAAAGGACTCTTGTGACGCCTTAGGAGCACCAGGTACCTAGTCTTCCGCATCTTTCTTGTTCTGCTCTCTATCCCCCAATAGAGCGTAGGCTCTCAACCAACTCACGCCAAGTTGTCCTCTCCTGCGCATAGAGGTCAGTCCGTGTCCTTCCTGTCTCTGAGTTGTCTTCTCCTGCACATAGAACTCAGTTCATGTTCTTCCTGTCTCTGTCTAACATTCAAGGTACCGATTCGGAAAATTGGCCTCAGTGAAAAAAGGTGCGTCGACGATCCAGATTCGTTTTGACTTTCTTCGATCAAGTGTGAATTATTCAGTCCAGTTTAAATTTGAAATGAATAATTTCAAGTCTTTTCTGCCAGTCATCTGTAAACGAAACGTGATGCGGATATTTTGCTGAGCAAAGAGAGGCCTACAGGGAATTGCTTCACGTGGGTCATGTACCCTAAATATGGGACTTGTCATATTGAGGAACGTATTACTATAATATTAGAATGTATACATATTTGAACCCCCCCCCCCCCCACTCGCCTCCCTTTCCCTGCCAAAGATTGTATTCTAAGGTTGATGTTTTAAAAATATGAGTGAGTGAGTGAATAATGGTGTGAGTGAGTGAAAGCGTGAGTGAGTTAGAGTGTGAGTGAGTGAGTGAGTGAGTGAGTGAGTGAGTGAGTGAGTGAGTGAGTGAGTGAGTGAGTGAGTGAGTGAGTGAGTGAGTGAGTGAGTGAGTGAGTGAGTGAGTGAGTGAGTGAGTGAGTGAGTGAATGAGTGAGTCAGTCAGTCAGCCAGTCAGTCAGTCAGTCAGTCAGTCAGTCAGTCAGTAAGTCACCGAGTCAGTAAGTCAGTGAGTATATCAGTTGAGTGAGTGAAAATGAACTGCACTAAAACCGCACACAACCAATAACGCCCAGTGACCGAAAGTGCTATGCATCATTACACGGATGAGAATTCCCCCAGGTCAAGTCCTAGAAACCCCGTTCAACCTTCAGGTTAGAGTAAGATTCGCGACGGTTACCAAGCAACCTGAAGTCCGGCCGGCCTATGGCTGCAACATCCACACAAACAAAAATAATTCCCATATAGTCATGGTATATGAACGAATAATGATATCACAGATCCCTCCCAAAAATGAAGAAAAAGAAAAAACCCAATATTTTAAACAACATACAAATGTTCTACATGCAGTATTGTGTGATAAGAACCCCCAGATTAGACACAGACACTCACGTAGTTTCCTATGAGAGGCGAGGATATGAACAGCCCCAGCTGGAAGATCCCGAAGACGATCCCTATCTGTATGCTGGAGAGCCCTTTTCTCTTGGCCTGGAGGAAAGATTCATTCAAAGTATCACCATTTTGAAAACAAAACTACAGCATAATTGTCATTTTCCCCATCCAGGGGTGTAACTTACACGGTGTAAGCTATCGTGTTCCCGAAAACGTACCACCGACTACCGTCCTGCGCGCTATTTTCAGGATTACTCTTACTTTGTCAGGAAACGTAGAATGCCACTTTTGGGGACCGTTAATTAGTCCTAATGGGGAGGTTTTGTTGAATAGTTCTAAAACTGTGGAGGTATTAAGGACACTCCCAGATCAGAGGTCGTAGCTAGGGGTGACGTCGTAGTTCATAATCAATGAGCAGTTGCGGGACAACGATCACAGATGACGTGCGTTTCCAGAAAAGCGAGGATGACTCAGAGATAGATTTTGATACAAACAGTTCCCTTCTGTGAATCTGCCTTTATTCGTTTCTGACTTGACTAACTGTGGCACATGACACATTTATTCGCTTTCTGTCGACCTTTGTTTCTTATTTTTTCAATATTTACACTTGTCTCAACCACCTCCACAAGCCGAAGTCTTGCAAAAAGTCTTCGTAGCCTGCCGCAGAATAATACATCAACAATGTTTATTCTAAGACACAATTATACTATTACTACTTAAAAGTCACTCTAGCACACAATAAAACTCTAACCACTTGTAAAGTTACTTTTCACAAACTGCAAACTACTGGACGTAAATTTGCCTAGAAAAACCACACAACAGCCAGAGGCTGTTAGGGTTGGTTCTGCAACGTCCTGTAACCTAACCTTTCACAAACAGAGACCATGTCTGGCGACAGGAATCCGCCGTGGTCAAGCGGCTAGACGCTCGCCTGCGGATCGGAAGGTAGTGGGTGTTTGGGTCCTGACGGAGCTTCTTTTTTCTTCTTTAAACATAACCTTGGCTCTCAGGTCGGCGCAGTCTTGAGTGGGTACCAGGTACAGTCCAGGGAAGTAAAGGCGGAAGGTGTGATGCTGACCACATCACCCACCAAGAGCCGTTTGTTCTATAAAATAAAAGTCTAGCCCTATAAGCCCAATACGCCTGAAGGAGTGGAAAAGGGTCCTTTACTTTACTTTTACGTCTGACGACACAATCACTTTCAGATGATCCCCGCGGAGTCGTAGAGTCCAAGCTTGTCGCCCGTTTGGTTACAGACTCAATTTCACACACAAGAGGGTCATTTGTACAACCTGACCTGGCTTCTCAAGTGTTACTGGTTTAATTGATACCAGAAAATGTTATGGGAAGTAAAGACGCCCCGGCTTAATTTCCATCACATTACGAAACGATTACTGATTGGTCTATATTTTCATAATTCTCTAGGAGCTGTATTGATTTACCAGCGGGAACAAGCAGCAGGAACAAGCAGCGGGAACAACCAGCGGGAACAACCAGCGGGAACAAGCAGCGGGAACAGTCGCGGGCGAAACATTTTCTTAGTTTCGAAATGCTGCCTCAACAGCTTCTCCCTGTCAGATCAACAGTTAAAACTGTACATTGCTTTCGCTGCTTATGTCACAATCCTCACGGTGCCGCCTTATGCAGCTGCTCTTTGTATCATAGTATGGCGGTCCTGGGTGGGAGTTTTTGGTGAGGGAGAAAGAAACAATTCGTGTGGCTTTAGGTAGTGTCACGAAAGAGATTAGATCGCCACCACGTAATATTATTGAACACTGCCCGTGGAGACACAGCTACCCTCTCTTTAACATACAGACACACAAACACATATACACACACACACACATACACACGAACACAAAGCACCTGCACGCGCACTTGAGAGAGAGAGAGAGAGAGAGAGAGAGAGAGAGAGAGAGAGAGAGAGAGAGAGCGAGAGAGAGCTTGAAAACGATACTATAAAAAGTACATAAAACTGACCTCCAATGGCATAAATGGCGCCATCAAGGAATAGATATTTCCGCCACAGAAGCAGCTGATACACAGCAGAAAAAGTGTCAATTTTCTTCTCTTTCTATAAGGATGAGTCTGCACAACTGGAGTGTTCTCCCCTGGTATGTTGTCTGGTGCTCCGGCAGAGGGAACGTCCTTGGAATCGGCTAACTCCATTGTGGAATGTTAATCAAGCGGTTTGGTCTTTGAAGCCTCACAAGCTTGAAACTGCGAGATGAAGGATGTTGGCTAGGGTTTCTGAAATATGGTCGGTAACAATGAGGCATGTCTGAATGTTTATAACATTGAGTAATTCAGCAAGGCCTACTACTATTATTAGTATTATTACTACTAGTACTACTACTGCTGCTGCTGCTGCTGCTACTACTACTATAACTGCTACTACTATTATTATTATCATTATTACTACAATAACTACTACTACTACTTCTAGTAGTGCTGCTGCTGCTGCTGCTACTACTACTACTACTACTACTACTACTACTACTACTACTACTACTACCACTACTACTATTACTCCTACTACTACTGTTACAACAACAACTACTACGACTATAATTATTACATTTTTACTATTATTATCAATATTATTACTACTACTATTGTTATATTTATTACTACTTCTACTACTACTACTATTGTTATATTTATTACTACTTCTACTACTACTACTATTGTAATTACTGCTAATACTACTACTCCTACTGCTACTACTGCTACTACTACTACTACTACTACTACTACTACTACTACTACTACTACTACTACTACTACTACTACTACTACTACTACTACTACTACTACTACTAAACTACTAATACTACTACTTATAATACTACCACCACTACTACTATTTTTACTACTACTCTTTGTTCGTCTTTTATTCTTACATCTCATCCCCGTTAAGGTTTTTGCTTAGTTTCATCACCGCTACTGTCATAATCATCATTTTCGTATCATTATCATCATAATCATCATCATATTCGTCCTCCTTCACCAGACTTGTAAAATCGTGTATCCGAGTCTCACTCATCCTCAATTGCTCCTGCAGTATTGTTATTAATAAAGCTAGTGTGTTTTATAACGTGGTTTGTTGTATTTGTAAAAACTTGTACAATGGTCAATTTGAAACAAAAAGGGAAGGCAAGGCGGACATATAATCAGACTGCCACTGACACCGCTGCTACTGGAACTCCGCGTCAGCTACTGAACGAACGAACTTTATTTTCAATGGGTTACAAATTAGGCACGCAGGCCTGTCTTACATTTGGCCCTTCCAAACTCTCATCTTTCACACAGCAGGTGAAAGTGGGAACAGAGCGTTTATGCTTTGAGCACTGTGGTGTCGGTTCTTGATTCAATTCAACTCAACCCAGCTTTTTTTAAAAGTATTTTTATTAAACACAGCTGATTCAGACACCCCCCCCCCCCCCCCCCAACATTTTCTGCCTCGTCCGCGATATTTGTTGTTACTGACGTCTTTCTGTCTATCCTGGCTGCAGGCTATATCCTTATATTGGGAGTCATGGAGGATCACAGCTCATAGAGACAGAGAGAGGGGGGGGGGGGGTCGGGTGATGTGGTCAACTTTTACTTGCCAGGACTCTCTACCTGGTACCCAATTAAGGGTGCATCGACCTGGGATACAAGGTCATCAAAACAAAAACAAAAACAATCCGACACCAACAGGGCCCCGACCCACGACCTTCCGATCGGCAGACAAGTGTCTAGCCGCTACACCACGACAGCTTCCCATTGTACAGAGTCCGGTCAGTAAAGTAGAGAAACGTGTTGCCCATGCAACATCATTTCTCCGTCGGTCTGCTTTGTTAACTCCACAAAAAGCTTTCCAATACCAAATGTCAAACGTCTCTGTGTTTTCTATCGCATATTTCCATGATCCGCATAATGAATTGTTTTTCAAGATTCTCCAGACCCACTAAATTTGAATGTTTTATCAAAACAGACAAGCAGAAGGGGAAAAAACCTATATATATCTATCTTTTTTTGTTTTTTTGTTACCCCACCAGGACATACCACAAGCGATAAACACATGAAGACACAAAGTGCCACCATGTGGATGAGGATCACCCGTGTAGAGGTCCCAGAAACTGCGTTCAGCCATTAGACCATATTAATTGCCGGACTATATTGCGGCCCCTGTCAAGAGCCAGAGTAGGGCTTCACATAACGAAAAATTGCAAACCACAAAGGGGTGACAAGATATGAAAAAACCGACAAGGTAATGAACTTACCAGGATGAACATCCTCAAAACCTTCTGCTAACAAACAGGAAATCTGGGGTTGACAAAATTGTGATTGCTTCATCTTGATGTTTGATATAACATGAACTTCTTTATTTGTCTGACTACAAAGCATAGGCGTACAACATTCTTGTTTGTCCGACAAGTCGAGATCCAAGCAGAGGGTTTATTTTCAATCTTTAGCAAAACTACAACAGTTTTAAATAACGCTTGCTGTTTACAATCGAAGACAGATCGCGTAAGGAGAAATAATAAACAAGCAAGATGCACGTCACCTCAGCGGCGCTTCGGCGTTTCCCATGAGACAAAGATGATGGCGTGGCTTTGACGTGTTTCAAACTCTAACTTGACAAGACTAATTAATTATTACATTGTGTAGTAAATAAGGGACACTCATATATTTTAGCTTCCATTGACACTGAAGTGGAGGATCTGAGGCCTAAACTTCTAGGAGAAGGGCGAGAAACTAGGAGGACCCTATCACAAGAAGGGACCTACTGAAATATAAGGCTGGTGTAACTGTTTACGGCACCCAAATTCTCACTTTTTTTTTTCAGGTTGAACGGGGTATCAGGGCAGATATCAGTCCGAACGGAAGAGTAGAACCAGTTAGCTTCACAATATTACAACCAGGAACGACTGATGAACGTTGCTGCTCGAGAGCTTTCATCGACATGAATGAATGAATGAATGAATGAATGAATTAGTAAATCAATCAACAATTGACATCCCAGCACTTAGAGTATTCCCACAAGTGCTCCGTTTCCCTCCTCAGTAGCAACAAAGAATCGATATGCTCTGGTACCAGTCGCAACCTGATTAAAAGACCACCTATGCACCGCCACCCCCCCCCCCCCACCAATAAAGGCTGACTATCTTCCAGAACCTGCAATAATATTATATATGATCATAACATGCTTTACTGGTAAAATACAACTGCTGTGTGAAAGATGAGTGTTTGGAAGGGCCGAATGTAAGACGGGCCTGCGTGCCCAATTTGTAACCCTTTGAAAATAAAGTTCGTTCGTTAGTTCTACCCCCGCTCGATACATGATTAATTGAAGGTACGGACACTGTGTCTGTTCGACAGCACTCTTTACTTGATCTCAAGGAGCCTTTATCAGCAAAAAACGAACCAACAATAATACAACTGGCACCTAGGGTTGTCCTGCTTGTTTGTCGTCGTCCGGACTGAAACTGTGTAACCTCATGGAGTCACACCTTCCAGTAGCAGCATGGACGGGACAAACTACACACACTTATACACACACACACATATAAACATACACACACACACACACACACACACACATCCTTTCACACTGGATCAGCTTTATTTAGTGAACCACTGCGAAAAACGTAACAGACAATTGTAACTTTTACTAAACTGCTGTTCTGGTTAATTCTGGAGCTTCCAACTTATTTTATAAACGCAGTCAACACTGGTGGTCAGTGATAGCACTGGTGGTCAGTGATAGAACTGGTGGTCAGTGACAGCACTGATGGTCAGTGACAGCACTGGTAGTCAGTGAAAGCACTGGTGGTCAGTGACAGCACTGGTTGTCAGTGACAGCACTGGTGGTCAGTGACAGCACTGGTTGTCAGTGACAGCACTGGTGGTCGGTGATGGCACTGGTGGTCAGTGACAGCACTGGTGGTCAGTGAAAGCACTGGTGGTCAGTGAAAGCACTGGTGGTCAGTGATAGAACTGGTGGTCAGTGAAAGCACTGGTGGTCAGTGACAGCACTGGTTGTCAGTGACAGCACTGGTGGTCAGTGATAGCACTGTGGTCGGTGATGGCACTGGTGGTCGGTGATGGCACTGGTGGTCATTAATAGCACTGGTGGTCAGTGACAGCACTGGTGGTCAGTGATAGCACTGGTTGTCAGTGACAGCACTGGTTGTCAGTGATAGCACTGCAATTGTGTGTGTATATTTATATATAAATATCTAGGCGCTGAACCCCAGACACGCCACTGCTAGAAAGTCGGAGACTTACTTAAGTATATCTACTAGATTTGATCGATTCTCATTAGTCAGCCTACGTTGATTTACCAGCAATAAAACCGGTCTGATTTATTATTGCATCTTTCCTCGGATCTTCAGCGGCCACACATTGGAGCTGTCAATTAATGGCTACTGCGGCTAACTGATCGATTTGTCTTCTAAGGGGCTGCGTGGTCTCGAGGCATGGTGTCCCCCTCGAGTGCTAGAGGTTCCGGGTTCAATCCCCGATAAGGGCTGGGATTTTTTTACGTGGACTTCTAGTAATTTCCCTGATCTCTGGGTAGTGAGACCGGCGCCCGTGTGTACTGTTGCGCACGTTAAAAATCCATTGGCAGCTGAAAATCGAAAAGAGTAGCCTAACAGCGCTGCCGGGGCAAAATTTTAAAATCTACCCAACGTATTTCAGGATCTTCGCCGGTGCTACAGACTTGTGCACTGTGCTGAGCTTCTTTGGACTCAAATTTGAGTTAGAAGAAGAACGGAGCACTTATGGGTGATTACCCGTGTGCCATGATCTTGATCAAATCACAAAACCTTAGTCTTCTGATAAACGTTTACAATCAAGGGGAGTAACTTCTCTGCACTGGACTTCAACACACAAGACTGTTTCTTTCCGCATACTTGCTAGCGGTCTGCTAAAAGTGGGCTATTGGCTGCTTCATGTGTGTTTTGGTCTTCCTTTATTTCAATGTCCCTGTGGGTTCCAGTGCAAAGACATTATAGTTATATTGTACTCAGGTTTTCTCAGCTTGCGTCCTATCCAACGCCGGCGTCTTTTCTTCACCTCTTGGTCTACTGCAACTTGTTTAGTTCTCTCTCAAAGCACTATATTAATGATTCTTTCACACCATTTAATTCTCTCTATAGTGCTGGTG